TGCTTTGTCAGTTGTCATTCAAACTTGGTACATAGATTATACATGTTAGGATACATGTCCATGACGATTTATTTCGCAATTGGATCAAAGATGGTCGACTGGCAGGCATCTTGTTTTTGTTTTTTTATGCGGTATCTTGGACGTGCTCTGTCAGTTTTCATTCAAATTTGGCACATACATGTACTTTATACATGTTAGGATGCATGTCCATGACAATTTGTTTCAAAATCTGGTCATGGATGGCCGATTGACAGCCATCTGACTTTTTGGCCTTACTACTATATTTCCACAATTTATGTACCATTTTCATTCGTATTTGGCACATACATCATACATATCAGTGTTTCATAATCAGATCAAAGATGGCTGAATAACGGCTGTTTTTATTTTGGCTATATTACTATGACACGAAACAAGTGTTTTGATGTAAAATCACTTGGAACTCAAGTTTCAAGGACACGCTCACGACAACCCCTCCGCTTTAATATGACGAGCACAAAGAGAACTTGACGGGGACTGTGTCATTTTCAATGACTTGTTATTTGTAAGAATCAATAGAATGAAATTGGATAGTGAGCTATCATCTAGGTTAGATACTGATAATGTAACACGTTTTGTGTGTACATTGAATATTGTTTGTTTCTTTTTTGATAGGTTGAAGCAGATAACCCTCAGAGTCTACATTTTGGTGAAGTGGCATATGGCCATACCAGATCAAAGGCATTAAAAATATACAACAGAGGAAAGTCTTCTGTGCCAATTAGACTTATAATATCAGCGGTGCGTTGAGAACTCTCTTTCTTGTCATGGTATATGTAGTTGATATTGCCCTCATTGAACTGATAAGGAAATCATACTATCACTTTATGCAAGTGTAACAATCAGTTGGGCACTGGCGGTTGGTTAGGATGATGATGATAATAACAGCCTGAATACTATCTGTCTGTATTTACAATGATATGTCAAGATACAAGTGTGGATAGATATATTCCTAACATTTTGTAGTTGAATTGTACAGTGTTTTAAAGTGCCTTGCCGTATTTGTTCTATTAATAGCGCATGGAATACAAGGAATATTTCTATGATTCAGGATACAATAAATCCAATATTTTGTTTCTATGTGCTTCTATTGAAGATGTTCTTTTAATAGAATGAATAAGTTATTGTTTTCATTTTACTGTTTTGTTTAGTGTTCCATAGCATGGCATTGTTATAGTTTTGGTAAACTTGATACTAGATTGGAAACACTGTCACCGGGTGGTACAGCCATGACACCAAGAGGTTCATCTGTCCTCAATATTATTGTTCCAGGTAGAACAGATAACAAGGTGAGTAATAGTACAGGTTTTTGACCCTTACACAATTGATATTGAACATGTACATCCAGCGATTTGTTGTGTCTACCTTGGTCTGTCTTAGGATTAGAAACTAAGTACAATGATGTTTCTGTATATAAATATTTAAATATTTATATAAATATAAAATATTTGCTGTATCCATATGTACAGTGTAGCTGCTTAACACTCCCGCATTTTCTCTGTCTTAGGCCAGTATTGATGATCCTCATTTAGTACTTATTGATTTCAAAGCTCCTCATAGGAATATGGATCATGGTAAGTAACAATCATTTGTAGAATGTGTAATCACCTTGGGCTGTTGTGCCAGAGTGAAGAAATTCATTGCCAAAATGCTCTTCCTGCAGCATGATAGAGTAAAAATTGGAAACCGCGTAAACCAACCAACTTAGGCGATTTCTGCTGTCTTAAAAGTAGTCATGGTTAATACATGTTTCACCTGATTTCAAAATACCATGGATGTTTCTATGCTCTGTTAGTTTATACAAATGACAGAGTTGTTGTCTATTGTCAAAATAAGTAGCATTCTAATGACCCAGCATACAACAAATGCACTTTCTGGTTTAAGTGCAATTCTTTCGGAGATGCGATTGTAAAAGAGCAAATACGGTGTTCAATTTGCATGAAAGTTAACACATACATGTATAATCAACTGATTGATTTTGAAGTGAGTTTGCATGTATTTTATTTCTGAAGATCACTTGTGGTATATTTTACCACTCTGTTCATAATCAATTTGTTTAGAAATGCTCGTTTTTTTTAGCTGTTAACGTAAGCAATTTGTTGTTTTACAGTGGCTGTGTTGGGTGTAGCAGAGATGATAACTGCTAGAGTTGATGTTGAATTAGATACTCCAGACAATCACAACATTGCTAGTAGAGCTCTCAAAGTCACAGTAGGCACTACAAGATTGCATATATTGAAAGAGTTACTTCATAAGGTAATATTGCCCATATGTTATATAGTGCAAGACATCTTAACACATTTCCCATTCATTTTGGCTGTCCATGGACTTGTGGAGACTTTCAGCAGGTAATTTAGTAAATAAAACCTAGCAATAGTGTGTACAAGTTACTGGATGTGCTCTACTATGCATACTGAACTGTTGAACATCACCTGAAATGATAGCAAATATTGGTAGATCATATAATAAAGTATCCATGACTTTATGACATAATCATAGTAACCAATCAGCATAAGAGCTTTCTCAAAAGGATCTTTACATGTTTTTGCTTTACGCAGTCAAACCCCAAATGTGATATATGCATGAGTACTAACCAAATTTGTATCTTTTGCAGCCCCTATTTTTAGCAGCTCCTCCTGGTAAGACAGCCACACAATTCTTGCCATTAAAGAATGCTGGTAATTTGATGATTACAGTAGAATTAAAGATAACACAAACTCAGGAATTTTTCAGTGTTATCCCAGCCACATTGACATTAAAACCAGATGAAATGACTGACATTGTTGTGAAATTCACCCCAGTTGATGCTCCAGTTGCAATTGACAGGTACAAAATTAATCTATCCTTCTAATAAAGCAGATAAAGTATTATTAAAATGAATGCAATGATTACAAAATAAATTATTATGTAGAATTGTAAACTTGTCATCTTATATGTTCACTGTAAAGTACCTTTTTGACTTCTGTCTGTTGACAATCTGCTCCGCTAGGATTGCCCTTAAAATCATGTGTGTGTGTGTTTTCATGTATTAATTTTTCTGTGTTTTTTTTGGCTGGGACGATTTTGCTCAAACTTGAAAAAATTCCTGGCCCACTGTTCCACTCAATTGATTTTGATGAAACTTGGTAACATAGATGCTGTAGAAATAAACTCAAACCTGATTCGTTTTGGGTTAATATTCATGCATATTAATTACCAAATTACGGCTTTTCCAGTGATATGTACTCATCATTACTAATCATATTTTTTTGGCTTTTCATGTACTAACAATTCCATTACAATGAAACTTGGTACATAGATGCTCTAGGACGATGCACAGACCTGATTAGTTTTGGGTAAAAATCTGTGTACATTAATCACCTAATTTGAATAATTATTAGCCACTTTAAGCATTT